TATATATGTATATATATATATATGCTGCTATTTTCACTTCTGAACACCAGAGCAGGTCGAGAATTCATTGGTCTTGGTTATTTATGCCTTTGTAAATGCTATTTGCTGATGTGGACTACAAAAATATAGGACCATGTGCAACCTCTCCTCTCATACACACCCTTTAATCAAAGGTACAATTTGGAGTACTTAGTGCCACCCTCACTGCTCGACAGGTAAGCCTGGCTACCATTTACTGTGCTGCTTTCATATGCAGAAACATGCAGCAAGTATACACACAGAGCAGAGAATTGCAGCGTATCTAACCGTTTCTTACCCTTGAATTTAGCGTTGCACAACAGTGTCTTTTCTGCGCACGTACCATTAGCTTTTATTTATAACACTCTTCATATTTGGGTGAACCAAAAAGAAAAAGGAGAGATTCCACAGATGCTGCAGGTTTTGAAAAAGGCACTACTTATTGTGGGGGGGAAAACACGCTTGCTGTCTTTCTCTTGTCTTGCCAACTGTGGCAAAGGGCACAGTTAAAGCAGGAACAGTATTTATCAGCATACACTTAGCATCTCCCTGAAAGAGAATGTAGATATAGTAGTAGCTGCTATCTTTCTCACTCTTACCTTTAACCTCCCCCAAGAATTCAGTGGCGTTCAAGCGATCCACGCGCTCCTTCCAGTCTTTAGAGAGGAGTCTTTCCATGCAAGAGGGTTCTACAAAAACAAACAAACAAACAAAGCAATTAGTTTCCTTTTATCAAGTCTGTTTCAATTTGTAACTTTCAGACAATAGCATCATATTTAAAATGAAATATGCATTTTACAACAGTCCACCTGTTCAGATACTAATGCTGAGGTCTCACAGGAGGCCTGACTGTCGCCCATAAACATAAAACTGGGGAAGTCGTAGAAAGAGGAGAAAATTGGGTGATGATAATAAAAAGTATGGAGAAGACACAAGAAAAAGGAAAACTAAGAATGAGTACATTTCCCATCAAGGAGAAGAAAAAATTTCCTCCAACTTTATCTAAAAAAAATTAAAAAAATTTAAAAAATGCAGCAGCTGACCAAATGAGAATGTCTGCATTGTTTAGAGATGGTTGTCTTTTTTTCTCACAATGTGTCTCAGGGCCTCAGGATAATAGACATCAGAGACACGTGGTCTCATAAGATTCATAAGGTCCCATTTGTTCAACTGGAGTCCTGCTGTGAACTTTACTTCAACAATGGGAACTTTTCAATTCTTCACCAGGCAAACAGTAGAGAGACAAACTTGGTAGAGACAGATATCTGCACATGTGCAAGCGGGATTGTTTGTGTGCCTCTGTCTGTGTGTGCGACCTGCGAATGAAGAAACAGTAAAGTGTGCACATTGTCAGGCATCAGCAAATAAATGTAAGCAAGTATAACCTGTTAAGTCTTGAGGTATATTTTGTGTTGTAATCGGTCTCCACTATAAACCCTTTAAATTTAACAGTATTTGTTTCCAAATGGAGGCAAAAATATAGTTGCTATATCATCCTCATTTTAAAGGGTACCTATGAGGATGGGAGAACATGAAACCCAGTGCAAACACAACTTTTGTAATATTCAGAAGTTGACTTTGTCAGAAAACACTGCTGACAGCTCTCGGCCCTCAGTGTAACAAATTTTTCCAGCGTGTGCTAGAAACACATAAATACGAGCTGTTCTTCTGCTTCAGTCACCACCACAAGCCAAAGGTGACACCAAAGCCTGAAATCTTTAAGCATAAGCACTACATTCAGAAATACAGCACCTGCATTACTTACTCTGTGTGTCCAATTTCTGCACACGTTACGACACAAATCTTTAAGGTCCTTCATTTGTGTATACACTCTTGTTTTTCTGCCGGCAGGTGTGTCATAGATGGTGTCATGGTCATGCACGGACCCGTGAGGAGGCCTCAGTCACCAAGGACATCAAAAAGCGCACACACACACACTCGTACAAAAAAAGGAGACATTCTTGGGTGCAGTGTGGAAAACATGCCCCTAAGGGATTGCCTGATTTAGAATGGTTAAGTCAGACAATAGCTTATTTGTGGTGCCTTTATCCTGACAAAAGACGCGATAGGCATTCATAAGGGCACATGGTCTATTGTGAATGGCTTAATGTTTAGTTTGTGCGTATGGGCCCATTGTGCGGTCATGAGATGCCGTCCACCAGCCGAGCACAGCTTCCTTATTAGGTCCATTAAAACCTTGCATGTTTACAGTCGGATTATGATTGTTGTAAATAAGCTGATGCAGCCGTCCTCGTCACATGGGTTCAATGTAAACAAAGAGGGGGGCGGGGGGCAATGGCACCGACGTAGGGTGGCAGATATATACAGAACAAAGAAACAATTTAAAAATGACAGAAATTTTTTGTGGTGATTTCCCAAATTAGGCAATAAACAGCGGGTATTTCCAGGCAGGCGGACCACATTGAAGTAAAGTAATGTAATGAACATAGCTTCCACCCCCTCCGGACAATGGAATCCACCTGATTTTTTTTTTTTTTTTTGCAGATTTACTGTACAAGTGGCTCCACAGGATAAGTATGTGTGTACATTTGGTTCAAGGGGTGATATTTATGGCTGGTAAAGGAGGAAGGCTGTGGGACAGAGGCAGGATGAGGGGCTTTTCTTCTAATCACAAGACCTGAAGACGCCAATGTGCACTTGTGCAGTGCGCCTTGTATCAAACAATATCAAGGAACCCAATTTATGAGAGCACTTAGTGAAGAAAATACAACCTATAACTCCAAGACACATCTGCATAAGTCAACTGTATGTGTACTCTATTGCACAATTTACACTCCTCGTACTGATAAACAGATCAGATGAGGAGACTGTGGGGGGATGAGAGCGGTGTGGTACGAAGAAAGAGGGGACGAGGAAGAGGACAAGAAGAGAGGGATGAGAGAGGATGGAGGGAGATGTTTTACCCTAGATGGCTCTTTATCCGTCACCGCAACTGAGTCAGGGTTCAAGTGCTGTTTAGATTGGTGGGTGGATAAAAATTCCTTGCTGTCCAGAAACAGGCCTCTTTATCAAACGAAGGATAATACGGAAATTGGATGGGTTAAAAAGACGAGGGAGCGGGTGGATGTTTTGGCTGGTGAGGGAAGTAAGGTTACATTAAAAGAACAAAGGGGAAAGGTGGAAAGCAGGACAGGCGGAGACAATGTTGAAGAGGGAATGATGAAGATGACTGTTTCAGCAATTTGGAAGAATTATAAAGACAAACTGAAGTGGGTAAAAACAAATGGGAAGGATGACATAGAAAAAGTAAGAATAAGGAAAAACTTTGTAAACAATATCAAATAGTTGCTGATGTGTTCTTGATGCTAGAAGCACTCCGAGAGCGCATACCTCCAGCAAGTCAGCTCACTCTCTGGGAGGTATTTACTTTTAAGGGTTTAACAGTTTTGGATTTTGCATACATTCTTTTATTTTCTTTGTTCTTTAAACAAACATACTTTAAGACGTCTGTTGTACAGTAAAAGTGCAGCGTGCAGGCTTCTAATTTTAAGTACAAATATTTGTTATTATTATTATTTATGTGGATATAGTACATGTGCACCATGTATGTCACTGTTAGCAAAACTGCTTTAAATGTTTAGTAATAAATATAGAGTGAAAAAAGAGCGCAAGTTTATATTAACCGACACCCCAAAAATAAAACGCATTTAAGTTGTTATAAACTGTTAGTGTAATGTACATAACATTACATTATACTGTTAATCAGCTATACTCAAAAAGTATCCCATCCCAACATTATCCCTTTCACCTTCAGGGTAGTTTATTGTCCATGACAGAGAGGTCAAAGGTCAAAAAACACTTGTAAGCACAAGCACAAGTTATACTTCTTTTTTTCAATTTTTGACCAATAAATCCTTCTTGAGTTGAACTTGAAGACCTCAATATATGTTAGTCACATTTTAATGGACCATTAACATGAGCCCGCTCGACACCCCTACACAGTTTAACCAGAATTCATTCAAAACGTATCGAGCTACTGTGTTTACAGACAGAACGACACACAAACACTACCAAAAACATAACCTCCATGCTGGAAGTAATAAAAACTTACTCTCCCAAATCAAAACACTTTAGACATTCCACATCTGGAAATTCCCTTTTTATTTGTTGTACAATAAAAAATATTTTCAAAAAAGACTTTGTCACAAGCAGAAACAAGTATGGAGAAGAGACAGACAGGTAGGGTGAATGAGCGATAAGATCAAGTGAAAGCGAGCCAGAAGGAAGGCGATGAGGAGAAGAAGCGGCTGAAGAGACGGAGTCGTAGTAAATCAGCGCTGAGGCAGCTAGCAAGCTGGCGAGTGTTTAGGGTAAACACACTTTTATCACCTGTCCCCACGCCAACCTGCCAAGAGACAATGTTTTGGGTGTTTTACATGAGCCACAGGCAACTTACTGTGTGCTTTGCTGTGTGTGTTTTACTTAGTGTATGTGTGGGTATGTGGCAGGCAAGCATCAACAGTCCAAAAGAGCAACTGCCAAGAAATACACAGTGTGCCACAGGCTTCTACTATATGACTGTGTCACTCTCTTCTCACTCTTTCTTTTAGCCTACTTGTTTTTAAAAGTTGCTCATGAAATGAACTTTTCAGCAAAATGTTGGTAAGTAACAGATACGTATGAATAGGAGTAGAGAGCTATTTCTCTCAGCCTAGAAGAATGGCTGTGTCGGAAAAACCACCACTTCACTTTCTAACAAGAGAGCTCAGTGTGAAGCCGTGGAATAATCTATCCTGCCAAATCCTTCATTAGTGCAATATTTATCTTAAACATGCTTACAACAGGTGTGCAACATATTCCAATGAAGTTTGTTTTCTAACAAAAATGTTTAGGATATACATATATTTTGAAAGTTTAGTTCACTCACGCTGAGCAGATTTTAGTGTGAAAGCTTAAAAAAAGTTCCTTTAAATTGTCCACATACATCGTCTCTTTCAGTCTCTCAAACAAACACATTATGCTTAGTGAGAGAGCTCGGGAACTCGGAGCCCTGGAGTGTGCAGTCTAAGGCCAATGTAAAGAGAAAAAAAAGTATTAATCTGAAAAATTACTTAATGTAAAAAATAACAAAATCCAGTGTTCTAACCGGTGCCTGGTGTTTGTGTAACACACCCACAGTTAAAAAAAGAAAAAAAAAACATTTTGTGTCTTCACTTCACTACTGAATGTGTGTAAATGGAAGCTGACAGCTACACTTTGCACTTCCAAATTTATGCCAGTGCTATGACTTCAACTGCAGACCCCACAGGATCAGAGAGAGAGGACAAGAAAGAAAGAAAGAAAGAAAGAATTTGAAGAGACACAAAATTTAAAAAATACTGTTTAGAAGAAGCAAAGAGAAACAAAGCATAACATTTTGATGTTAAAGAAACATTAATGTTGAAGAAAAAACCAGAGTGAGAGGCAGACCAAGAGAAACAGAGAGCGCGAGCGCAAGACGGCACGAATGATAGAGTAAAAGAGAGAAACAGAGCAGGAGAGGCACAGAGAGAGCAGCTGTCCTAACAGCTGGCCAGCAGGATTGATGTCTGAGTGAAATAAAACTCAACATATGTCCAAACACGAGGAGACGGGCTAGCCAGGAGGAGGAAAGAGACACACACACACCCACATATACGCAAAAACACACAAACGCAAGCATACACACACTGATATGAGAACACTGAAG